TTTTCCAGGATTATCTCGGAATCTGGCCAGGCGCCTCTGTCATTTCCTTTAAGTAGAACGCGTCCATAGCAGCTTCTGGCAGCTGTGTGGGAGCCCTGGCCCGGCGCTGGGCACTGTGCTGGGGGCTTGGGACATCCTGGGCCTGGAGAACACGTGCAGGCAGCCAGGGGCCCCCCACAGATGCCCTGGGTCACAGGGACTCGAGACAACCTGGTTTCTTTCACCCAGCCGAGAAGTGACAGAGTTGGGATTTCTAACTCCTCTCAGAGTTGATGTGCCTTTTAATGTGAGTCCACTTTCTGATTCCTCAGTTTCCCACCCTTGGCTTGGAGAGTCTTGTGATGTCACCCGGAGAGGCCGCGGATCCGGATCTAACAAGTGGACCAGGCGATTCTTACTCTCACACAGGTCCTTGGTGGCTTGGAAATGAGACTGTTACTAGGAATTCTCATTTTCTTTGTTTGAAATGTGTGAGTCTGCTGTGAAAAGGGCCCTGGTGGGTCGTGCATGTAGCTTAGTGGCGCCTCGCCTGCCTGGCAAGCTCAAGATCGTGAGTTTGATTCCCAGTACCAGAAAAGAAAAAAAGGCCCTGGGATGAGCAGCCATGTGAATCACTTCTGGAAACTGTTGGTCAGGAATAGAAGGGTTTTTCCAGGTTGACATAATCAGGCTGTTGAAGATCTTGTTCCAATCTCATTGCATGGCCCTGGCATGGGAATGCTGTTAGGAGTTCTCTGGAGCATCTGGTCTGTTCGAGGACAGGTGGCGGCTGGCAGAGAGGTCTCTGTCTCTGTAGTGACGCGAGTCCCTCAGGACATGCGGGCTTTGCAGTGCTTCCATGGCAGGCAGGCACCCCTCCGTTCTCTGCTTTGTCTGCTGCCATTAGTTGTATGGAAGATAAGCAGGTATCATACAGGTTTGTCTTGATTTTCTTGGGGCGGGCATGGAGCCCCTGGGACCTAGGACGGGCAGCAGGCGGCTTCAGACAGAACTTGAGCGAGCAGGCCTGGTGGTGGAGACCTGGAGGCCTCCTGATTGTGGCCGGAAAGCAGCAGCAGCAGCAGCACCTGTGCCCGTTGAGTGCACTGGGCTGCTGACCTCATGTCAGCTGTCTCATTGGCCAGAGGAAGTCCCAGGGCCCTGAGGTGTAACCCGCCTGTCTTTCTGCTCTTCCATCCGAATGCTTCATCTCCCTCTGGCTGGGCTCCTTCGCATGGTTTGCATCGCTCTGCGCTGCGGTGCTAAGTCCCCTGTGGGAGCAGGAAGGAGGAGGTGTCCCCTGCTGCCGTCGGACCTACACATCCATTTGGTTGGCAGTGGCACTCACGGCTCTTGTGCCCTTCCCACCTTCCCCTCATTGCTCTCCAGAGAGGGACGGTCGTTGTGGATTTGTCCTTTCCTTCTTGTAGTCTTTACTGTTTTGGTTTCACGTATTTGAAGCCCCGTTACTAGGTGCATGAGCTTTTGTGTTATACTCCCTTGATGAACTGACCTTTTTCATGAAATGACCCTTTAAAAAATTTTTTTTTGATGCCAGGGATTGAACTTGTACCCTTGCGCTTGCGAGGCAGGAGGTGGAATCACTGAGCCAAATCCCCGGCCCTTGAAATGACTCTTTTAGCCCCTGGAATACTCTTTGCTCTGAAATCTCCTTCGTCTGGTGTTGATGTGGCTAATCCAGCGTTTTAGAAAACTGTCAGTGGATTGATATCCATAGTACACGAGTAACTCCAACAACGGAAAACAAGATGGCCTGAGTCCAAAATGGGCCAAGACTCAGGTGTTTCTCTAATAAAAGAATATGCAGATGACCAGAAAACGTAGAACAGTATGTTCAGGATCTCTAATAATTAGAGAGATGCAAATTAAAGCCACAGAGATACCACTTTACAACGGGTAGTGTCGCTGTCATCTTGGTTTTTGAGACAGGGTCTCCCTATTAGTCCAGGCTGGCCTTGAACTTGCAGTGATTTTCCTGCCTCAGCCTCCCGAGTGCTGGGATTACAGGCATACACCACTACACCTAGAATAGGATGTTATTATCATTATTATTATTATTTTTTTTTTGGTACCGGGGAACTTGGGTCCTTGCGCTTGCAAGGCAGGCCACCGAACCGCTGAGCTAAATCCCCGGCCCTGAAGGCTACCGGGACTTGGGTCCTTGCGCTTGCAAGGCAGGCCACCGAACCGCTGAGCTAAATCCCCGGCCCTGAGGATGTTATTATTTTTTTAAAAATAGGGAATAATAAATGTTAGTGAGGATGTGGAATATTGAAACCTTGGTGCATTTTTGGTAAGAACGTAGAGCGGTACGGCTGCTGTGGTAAGCAGTCTACTAATTCCTCAAAAATTAAACAGGATCATCATGTGTACCCACTGTGCCCCCTGGGCGTGTACCTAAAGCACTAAAGCAGGAACTGGAGCGGGTGCTGCACCGCCACTCGCAGCTGCAGTGCTGTCGATTAGCAGCAGACAACGGACGGCCGGACGAACGGACGGTCGAGTGCGGGCCGCGCACTGGGGATCACGCATCTTTGAGAGGAAGGAAAACAGCCTGCTGAGCGGGACCTGCCGGGCTGCCTGTGCGAGTGTGGTCACTTTCTTGGGCAGTGGGCTGGTGTGTAGGGGCGGAGGTAAAGGAGGTCCCCAGGCGAGCTGCCGCAGTTAGCGCAGGACGGCGGTGAGGCGGACCGTTCAGACCCTCGGCTCTGAAGCTCGGAGTGCTCGTGTCCAGTGGGTTTCTGTTGGGCAGCCTGGAGGTGGGTGTTCCTTTTCTCTTTCTTTTTTTATTGAGTCAGGGTCTCTCTGTGTGGCCCAGCCTGACCTTGAATTCACAGTGATGCTCCTGCCTCAGCCTCCTGAGTGCTGGAGTCGCAGGTGTGTACCACCACGCCCGGCTGGGTGTTGGTTCTCTAAAAATCTAGTCTTAACCATCTCTGCCTTGTGATAGCAGCTGCAGACTACCGGTGTCCACATGAGGATTGATGTGGTTGGGTTTAAGTCCCCGCTTGCTGTTTGCTTTCAGTCTGACTTCTGTTAGTCCAGGAGGGCTGTGAACTCGCAGGGATTTTCCTGCCTCAGCCTCCTGAGTGCTGGGAGTTCAGGCATTACATGCACCACTATGCCTGGAATAGGATGTTATTATTTTAAAAATAGGAAATAATAAATGTTAGTGAGGATGTAGAAAAATTGAAACCTTGGTGTGTCCCATTGTCTGACTTCTGTGGGATGAGGCAGCTCTCCGGTCCCATTTGGCTTTGTTTGCTCATTCACCACCGCACTCTTCTGAGCTCACCCTCTGCCCCTCTGCCCCTCTGCCCTGGCCGCTGCTCCCACAGGTTTTTCTGAGCCTGCTCTGGGCTGTCCCGTCCGTGGAGCTCGCTGCCATCCTAGGAGGAAAGGATGGCGCCTGCGGACCCTTGGTGTCCTGGGTGCTCTTCTCCTGCCAGGTCCTCTGCTCCTGCGCTGCCTTCCGCTGTGTTCCTGAAGGTGTCGCCTGACAGCTGCTGTGCCAGCGTCCGTTGTGTGCGGGCCTCCTGCGGGCATGTGCGGGTGTAACCGCCGTCTTTCTGCTCTTCTGTCCGAATGCTTCATCTCCCTCTGGCTGTTTCCTTCGCCAGCTTAGGGAATGGGTGCTGTGCTTTGGAGTCGTTTCCTCACATTCTCTGTGGGGTTGCGTTTTGGCTGTTGTGGGTGTGTGGCTCTCATCAGATTGGGGCAGCTCTCAGCCAGCACTTTAGTGTGCTTCTCCGTTCCTGCCCACTCTGCTCCTTGGGGACGAGGGTCCCATTGTGCAGGGCGTCTGAGGGCTGCCCAGCTGTGTGACAGTCCTTTTCTCCCCGGTGGTTTTCCTCTTGTGGTCCGCCTTGGTCTTCCTGCCTCTGGCCTTCTGCAATGTCCAGTCTGCCCATCTTCCCGTACGGTTTCTTTTCTGCTGAAGCGGTGCAATTCCTCCTTCTAAAGCCCTATTTGAGCCTTTAGCAGTGGTCTCAAGTCTCTGGTGACTGCGCTCTTTTAGCTGGGACACGCAGAACAGGTTGGAGGAGCTGCTCCATTGTCCTCCCTTTCCTTTCCTCCTTACTGGTGACAGTTTCTCGCTGGACGCCGTGCACTGTGGGTCTTGCCTTGCTGGGGGTCGTGTTGTCTCGGAAACGCTCCCGGTAGTGTCTGGGGACTCTGCTGAGTGCCTGGCACACTCAGAGCCCAGCTGCTGTGGGCGGTGGGGGCCACGCAGAGCCGCTCTGGGCCTGGGCTCCTCCCTACCACCAGTGCTGCCCCATCCTGCCCAGTGCGCGGCTGGGGGGGCCAGGTCTCCCCTCGTTGGGGCCAGCGCTGGTCAGGGCACCCTGTGCAGGTTCTGGGGTTCTCTGGAGCTGTCTCCCCTGGCTCTGCTCTGGCCGCCCTGTACCTGTCGTTCTTCTGCCCCCACACTGGGCTGGAGACCCCTCGTCTGCTTCCCTCTGGCCAGGGCTCGGCTGGTTCTTTTGTGGCTTCGCCTGTGGCTGTTGGAGGCAGCAGCTGAGTCTGGGCCCTGCTCTGCACAGCCCCTGTCCAGGAGGCGCTGTGGGCAGCGTGTGCTTGGTTGAGTGTGGATGCCGCAGAGGGAGACCAGGGAGGAGAGGATGCTGCCTCCCTCTGGGTCTGCAGAAGACTTGGGCCTGCGTGCTGGGGCAGAGCTGCCGCACGAGGTCCTGCCAGGCAGAGTTTCAGGCAGAGCCGCCCGGGTGGCCGTGCGGACGGAAGCCGAGAGGTTCCATCTGACCCAGTCCGGCCAGAGAGTGTTGTTGCCCAGGTGACCCATCCGTCCCTGGAGGAACCTGCGAAGTGCAGAGGGGAGAAGGCGCAGGGCTGGGAGCCAGCAGTGAGCTCTGTTCATCTTTCCAAAGCCCGGGCCTGGAGGAGAAGCTGAGGCACAGAGGGGTCTAGGGGCTGCCCTCGCTCCCCACACGCTGCTGTCTACCCTCCTCACACGAGCCGTGGCCAGGTCTCTGGGGCGCGGCTTGGCAGAGGGAAGAGGGACCCCACTGGTGAGGGCCACGCCATCCTGACAGGTGGGGAAACTGAGCCCTTGGCTCTGTGCTGCGGCGTCTTCAGGCCCTGGCAGTAGCGGAGGACGCTGTGAAAATGGGTGCGTCAGCAGGGGCGGGGGCCGGCTCTGCTCCCCCGCCGCTGTGAGCGCCTGTCACCTGGCAGGTGTCCATCCGGTCTGCGAGGCTGGTTTGGGCTTTCTCCTTTCTGCTCAGTGGAGATGGTCGTCCTGTGACAGCTCGTGTGTGACTGGGCTCGAGGGCCTGAAATACAGCGAGGGGTGGTACTGGGCCTCCACGTCGCAGCCGGCACAGCCTGTGTATTTCTGGTCGGGACAGAAACACCCACCTCCGTGGCGCAGGATGGGACCTGCAGGCTTGTGCTGCCCTCGTGTGGGTGGGGCCTCCTGTCCAGGCTGGCAGTGCTCCTGGGCAGGCCTCAGTGCCGTCCCTTCTCACTTCCATGTGCTCTGTTTGTAGGGCAGGATGGAGACGCTGAGAGACAAGACCGTGCAGGAGCTGGAGGACATGCAGAGTGACCCCGAGGCCATCGGCCGGCTGGCCCTGGAGTCCCCAGAGGTAGGTGCATCCCCATATCCTTCCTCAGGATGCTGTCCAGCCGGCCTTTGGCTGAGCCCTGTGCCGGGCATAGCCAGAGTAGCCTCGAGGGTTCGGGCTGGGCTCCCAGAGCCCAGGACCCAGGTGGACTTGGACTCAGGGCTTCCTGGCACCCACAGGCCCCCAAGGCCGCACTGGGTCCAGCCTGACCCCAAAGGCTGGTGTGCTCGCTCCCACCTTGTCCTGAATCCCGGGTGGCCTTGCACCTGTGGTGACTCTGCTGTGTACTGGGCGGTGGCCTGCCCGTGACCCTGAGCCCTCTGCTCTTGGCCGTGGGGATGAGCGCACCGTCCATCTGCCCGCCCTGTGACAGCAGGGCATGGGTGGCCTCCTGCAGGGCACCTGCTGTGTCTCCTCAGTGAGCTCAGTGTGGCGAGGCTACCCTTCCAGCGCCTTCCGCCTCCCGGGCCTGTGCTCTGGTGTCTCTGGGGCCTCTGCCCATGAGGGTCGCCATGGCTGTGGTGGTCCAGCCCCTCTTCCTGGCCTCGTGCTGGGCCAGTCATGCCCCCGATGCGGCCCCCATGTGAGTACGTGGGACCAGAAGTGTGCAGGGTTGTGGGTCCCTGCACGGCCTTCCGAGCTCAGCCTTCCCCTGAATCCTCCATGCTCTGAGTCTCACGAGGACTCACAAGGCCGCAGCTGTCTGGGACCTCAGACCTGGGACTTGGGCTCCCGGGTTGGGCTGTTCTGCCTGCAGTACACCCCATGTATCTGGGGTTCAAGGCCTGCCCTGCGGGTACAGAGTTCAGTGGGGCAGAGTTGTCCATGCATCCTGCTCAGGACCAAGCTTGGGGTGGGCAGAGTGGCTGCCCAGTGCCCATGCTGCCCACACTGCCCACACTGCCTGTGGATCTCTGGTGTAACCCCCTTCTCTGCCTGAGGCTGGGCTCTTAGAGCTGTGCCCGCTGCTGGTTCTGTGGCTACAGCCTTTTGGGTTATGGGTGCTGTCCGTGTGCCACCCCACCCACTTGAGCCTGACTGACTTTCCTGGGCCCTTGGCACGTGATGTCCTGTCGCCCAGCACTTGGGAGGGGTTTGTGACTTCTGGCCCACTGGCTTTAGTACTGAGGGCCTGCATCCTGCTGTGCATCCACCCCGGGCCACCAGGTTGGGTTCGGAGAGGCCCACCCGGGCCTTGCTGACGGGGCCGGGGCTGAGCACGCTGGTCCCTGAGGTGGCAGAGAGCCCACAGCCCTGCCCAGCCTTGGGTGGTAGGAGGTGGCTCTCACCATCACCGATGCCCCCCTTTCAGGTCCAGGACCTGCAGCTGGAGCGGGAGATGGCCCTGGCCACCAACCGGAGCCTGGCTGAGCAGAACCTGGAGTTCCAGGGCCCCCTGGAGATCAGCCGCTCTAACCTCTCCGACAAGTACCAGGAGCTGCGCAGGCTGGTGGAGCGTTGCCAGGAGCAGAAGGCCCGGCTGGGTAGTACAGGGCGGGATGGGCAGGCAGGTGGCGGGCGTGGTGTCCCAGGCTCCACGGGCAATGGGTGTGGCTGGGCACTGGGGCCCTCATTTCACAGGGCAGAGAGCTGGGGTCTGGGGTGCAGGAGCTGCGGGTGTAGGGCTGGAGACTGTGGGGGTGGATCTGTCGGCAGAGCCCTCTGCACGCAGCTCATCAGAGCTCAGAAAGGCAGGGATCCACCCGGGAAGCTGAATCCTAAGAGGCTTCCAACCAGGGCTCCGATACCTGAGGGACATGTGGAGCCGCTGGCAGGGCAGATCCCGCCCAGCACAGGTGGCTCTGTGGACTTGGCGCCTGGCCTCTCTCCTTCTAGAGAAGTTCTCCTCCATGCTGCAGCCAACGACCTTGCTGGACCTTCTGCAGATCGAAGGCCTAAAGATCGAGGAGGAGTCTGAGGTGAGGGGCAGCGAGCTGGGCACTGTGTCTACAAAGCGTGGGGTGCAGGCGGAGTGGGTGGCACCTGGGCTCCTGGATGAGGCCCTGCCTGCAAGGGACACTTCCTGAGACCCTGTGGGCACCTGGAGAACACGCTCTGTCTCTGGTATACATCGTGTCTCTTCCTGACAGACCTGTCATAGTTTCGTGTGTGAGTAGGCGGATGGTGAGACCAGAACAGCTGTGACAACATGCTGTAGGGAAAGCGACTTAAAACTTAGGAGCTTACAAAATTCATCTCTAGAGCTTTCTGTCTCACGTACTGGACTGGGCTGGCCTCGGGTGCAGGCTGCAGCTCCCAGGCGGAAGCCAGGCCTCCATCCCCTTCCACCCCCACCCCTCCCTGTCTCCCCCGTGCCGGCAGAGGCGGCTCTCTGTCCCTGCCTCTGGAAGGCTGGCGGAAGATGCGCTTGTCTGAGGCCCCTGTGGTCTGGGCAGTGCGGGCCGGGAGCGGGGGGACCCGGTCAGTGCCCACCTTCTCAGGTATGCGGAGAACAGCGGGGCCTGAGAAGGCCACAGCAGGCTCTCGACCCAGGGAGCCGAGGCTGGCATCCCTGCAGGTGGTCAGCGCCCTCGTGTCTTCTAGGCCATGGCAGAGAAGTTCCTGGAGGGCACAGTGCCGCTGGAGCAGTTCCTGGAGGACTTCTGCGCCAAGCGGACACTGTCCCACCTGCGCCGTGTGCGGGTGGAAAAGCTGCAGGACGTGGTGAGGAGGCCCCGCGCCCCCCAGGAGCCAGCGGGGGACATCCCTCCACCCCGGCCACCGCCA